AGTTGAAGTTGTTGACCCCTTACATGATTTTCAAAAAATTTGTGCCTAATTTATTATTTTAGACATGGATCTCGCTTTTATTTCAATTAGTATTTTTAAAATCTTATAAATACTCATTTAAATTCAAAATTGAAGGAGCTTGAAGACTGATGGTAGCCCTTTTTTTTAGCATTATTGAAGATCAAAGATAAGAGATTCATTAATAATAGAATATCAAGAAATTCAATTTTTTCAAATTCTTCCTTGATATTCTTATGTTCATAATGAATTAATTTATTTTATTAAGGTTATGATGTAGCCAATCAATTTAATATAGATTTTATGACTTTTATACTTTCAATTAAAATTATTCACATGATGAGTTTATATTATTAAACTTAATACATTAAAAACTTGATTACTTTTCAATTGATTTAGTGATTTATGTATGAACTTGAGAAAGAATTGTATAAATTAAATCAATAATAATATAAATTATATGTTAGATTATGAGATCAAGAGGTAATTAGCGTTACATGTGGTAGTGGAGGAAGAGAAGAGAGTTAGGAGCTTTTTATTCTTAAGTTAGAGGTTTCCATAAAATTTAATACTCATTAGTTTAGTTAAAATTATATAGAAATATCATTAATTTAACAAATAAATGAAAGAATAAGTTGACTTGAGAAAATTAGTTTATTTAAAATTATATAGAGATATTATTAATTTAACAAATAAATGAAGGATTAAATTGACTTGAGAAAATTAATTAATTAATTTAGGAAAATCCGTCATCATACTTGATTCATACGTAATAACACTTAACAAATTGCTTTTGAAAATATATTAATTTAAAATTTAATTGATTGATTATGGTGAAATCAATATCTTAATACCTCATATCTTAATTAGTTTTATTTTAATTGTTATTTTTTTATTTTTTTAATTAAAATATCTTTATTTTCAATTGTTCAAATAAATTTAGATTAATAATTTTTAATACTTAGCTAAATATAATTCTTGTAAGTTCGATACTTTTCTCATTATTATATTATTTAGAGTGACAAATACATTTATTATAGTGATTTTAGTACATCGGTATAGACTCTAAAATAGAATATCCTTTTAGAAAAATAAGAATAAATATCAATGTTTGAATACTGTGTAAAGTATAAGCAAAGCAATTTTTCTTTTTTCGATGGCCTCTTATCTCGGATGACAACTGTAGTTGCTGTCATCTTGACAAAGCTTTTATGCATCTCAATCCCATGAGATCCGTTCCAAAATATGGTGGTTGAAGGGGAGATGTCATCTTATATCCGTTCCAAAAAAAAGTTCTATAAAAAAATGCTTTTACACATTTTCCATAATTATTAGATCATATAAAGCAAAACAAGTGAAAGACAAAGACATGATACATGGATTACGAGACAAAATGTTGATGAAACAGAAGTACTCAACTAACGACAACTTGAATCTAATAGTGTTTCAACAATCCCACACTTAATGATGTAGAGTAGAGATATCAAACTCTTAACATGTAGGGAGCAATCGAGAAGAGTATCAGAAAATGCGCCTGCAGATGTTCATCCCGTCTCCAATGGAAGCAAGAACAAGCTCAATGCGATGATCAGCAGAAATCAATCTGTTAAACTCCATCACATGCTTCCTGAGTTCTCTTTTGCTTTCATGAACAGCCTCCTCTGGCCAGCAAACAGTGCCTCCCCAGAGAGTGTTGTCATAGATGAGCAGTCCGCCAGGCCTCACTAATTTCATCAGTTTCTCATGGTAGTTCCAGTAATTGTTCTTGTCTGCATCCACAAAGGCAAAGTCGAAACTCCCTTCATTCTCTTCCTGCCATTTCAAATTAATACAACCACATTTAAATATTTGAAATAAAAAACAAACTTTTTTAACATTCTCTGTTAGATTTGACAAACAAATTAATGGAAGAACCAATTTAATTAAAGAATATCTATATAATTAGTAGGTATTTCCATATGTAACTTAATGAGTCTTTTGTTTTTGTAGTTTGGATTGTATTAGATTGCAAAAAAGAATCATTGGATAATGAGAAACAACTTTTAATATTAGGGAACTTTTTCCCCTCTAATAATTTAAGTTATATAATTTAATATACTTTAAAATTTAATACATTTTTTATAACTTAATTAGCTTACATCTTGTAAAAGCCCATTGAGAATTGGGAGAGCAGGAGATTGAATGAAGTTGATTTTGTGTTCAACACCAGCTTTCTGAATGATGGGCAAACCTATCTCATATGTCTCTCGATTCAAGTCTATTGCAGTGATCTATAATG